AAGAAGAAGAAGAAGAAGAAGAAGAAGAAGAAGAAGAAGAAGAAGAAGAAGAAAAAGAATAAGAACAATAATAATGATTTCAATCATAATAATAACAATAATAACAGTAATAATCAGGGGCGAAGCGTCTATATAATCAAATAATCACTGCTTCCCTTCCTAATTTTGAAACATTGTCGCTGTCAAATTCATCCTTAAACGTAAACCTCTTAAATTAAATGTAAAAGACGTTCGTAATCAACAATGAACAGTATGCCTAACATTCAAAACGGTTTCACGGCCACGGAAATAGCCTCCTCACCCCTCTCGGGCCACTCCATAAGCAGTCGCAAGCTTTGATTAAGTAAGCTTAAAGTGAGTCTGGAAGAGTCTATCAATAGAGTTGAAGGGAACATGTACATAGCAGTCCAAGCTGTTTCATTGCCACATATACCCTGTTCACCCCTTTGGGGCCACAGTTATAATCAATCTCAAGCCCTGATTATTTATGCTAACTAACGCTGGTCGAGTCTACCTCACAAATGTGAGGGGAACTAACTCCTAATAATCTCTTGACTGCTGCGTGTGCTTGTTTTTTTTCCTCGACTTTTTAACCGTCCTATAATCAGATCGTGACCTCGATTATGGCACCAGCTCCTGGCCGCGAAAGGCTAACAAAAACAGCCAAATGTGAAATTTAAAAAATGATAATTGTCATGTTCTGCCAAAGAGTTAGACTTACTGGTAGATCTATAACATATAGATCTAGATCTAGTACTGACATCTCTGCTTCTTTGCTTTGTGTTTATGTATTCACATCTAAAGTTAAATTTAATTTTAGTTGGAACTGATATTTAATAAGATACTTTCCCGATTATTTTGGCGGTTGAACATACAATATGAATTCCGGATTTGTTTTCATTCACAACTCGAGTAAGATTCTTGTGTGATATCTACAGGCCATATCTATAAGTCCCGTTTCACTTTGATTACCCTGTCAAACAAGTCAGCCTTCGCCCTTGGTAATAATAATAATAATAATAACAATAATATAGTGAAATGATACATAAAAATGATAATAATAATGATATTAATGATATAATAATAATAATAATAATAACAATAATGATAACAACAACAACAACAACAACAACAACAACAACAACAATGATAATAATAATAATAATAATAATAGTAATAATAATAATAATAATAATAATAATAATAATAATAATAATAATAATAATAATAATGATAATAAAAATAATGGGAATTCATATAGCGTCTAATCACTAGTAAGCGTTGAATCAAAGGAAATTTGTCCTACTATCCTAAATTCACAATGTATAATATGTTTACAAAGATGATTGATTTGATGGCATATTTACAAAGATGATTGATTTGATGGCATATTGACAATTTATGGTCAAAGTAAAGACATATTTTCTCATCAAAAGCAACAATTTCAGAAACTCTCCTGATGTTATCAATACACTGAGTTCAAACGTCCTGCTGGTGTTTCACAACAAAAGATGAAATACATAGATCTATATGGTTTGCCATTGTATTTATATACACTTTTAGAGGACTTCACCCGAAGTGAATATTCCTTGGTCACCAGATACATGCATACATATATTATAACATTTTAATATATATTTGCATCGCCTGCCAGCTGTTGAAAAGTCAGTAATTTTGAAAGTTTTTTTTTTTTTTTTTGTTCATTGCAATTTCATAAACTGTGATATCAGTTGTATGTGCTCGAAAAGCATTTCTTTATGTAAATCACAAATAGAATAGATAGATAAATAAATAAAAAGATAGATAGATAGATAGATAGATAGATAGATAGATAGATAGATAGATAGATAGATAAATAGATAGATAGATAGATAGATAGATAGACTGATAGTTAGATAAATACAGTCATTTAAAAACTAAGTGGTGTGAATGTTTCGGCTCATACGCTTATTTTACAGCCATTGTATCTGTTCAGCTTGTGAACCGTGTCAATCAAAATACGTTTTCCCTTTTAAATAAAGTGTTTCATAGTGTTACTAATACCACGAGGTCAGAAACCACTTAATATTCATTCTGCACTTGAAAAATCGCAAGATTACACGGAGTCGTTATCAAGGTATTCGAAAAAAGCTAGACATATGAAACTCCAATAAGAGAAATTCAAATGTTTGGGCCTAGTACATTTTAACATCTTTTTCTCGTGTGCACAGACAGAAGAAATGGCACACACACGCACATACTCACACACATACACACACACGTGCACACAAAAACACACATTTACCTTCTCTCTCATCACACGCGCAGGCATAGCAACCATTATGACTGATAACATAGAAATACATAATGTAAAACACAATATACGCAATACGTCCCGTAGCTTAGAAAAGTAC